AGATGAGATCTCAGGAGGAAACAGAAAGACTGACGAGGCAGCAAAAGAAGCCTCCCTTTCTTCTGCCCCTGCCCCTCTCCGCATCATCATTCCCACACTCCAACCCCAATATTCCTTACTAAAAAGCTTGACTGTTACCACAAGGGGCCTCCTTCCAGGAGAATTGGATAGTCACAAATCAAAAACTCATCCTCCCCCAAGCACAAATCAAAGGAATTCTAACATCTCTTCACCAGTCCTTCCATATGGGTGCATGCCCCCTGCACCTACTCCTTTACCTTTATTTCTCTTCCCCCCAACTATTTACCTCACTCACTACAAGACATAACCTCAAACTGTCATATATGTTCTGTCACTTCCCCTCAAGGGTTCTCCACTCTCCTCCTATCCCTACACGTCAACTAAGAAGAACGCTCCCAGGAGAAGACTGAAAAGTATACTTTACCCATAGAACTCCTGTTAAAATACTAAGTTTCTTCTTCCTCTCATAAACACCTTCTCTGGGTGGGTAGAAGCATTTCCCACCTCCTCAGAAACAGCTGAAGTAGTCTCCCAAATTCTTTTAACAATAATCGTTCCTAAAATTGGTCTTATCATGCTCCATACAGTCAGACAATGGCCCTAGCTTCATCTCCCAAATCACCCAACAAGCCTCTCAGTCCCTCGGCGTCCAGTGGTGCCTCCCAATCCCATACCAACCCCAGTCATCAGGAAAAACTGAAAGGACAAATGGGATCCTTAAAACTCAGTTAACCAAACTCACTCTGGAAGTCCAGCAATTCTGGACCTCTCTTCTGCCCTAGCCCTAGCCCACATCAAAGCCAGACCCAAAGTACCCTCCTTCCTCAGCTCACTTAAATTAATGTATGGATGCCCTTTTCTCTTACAAAACAGACCCCCTTCTAATTCTCAGCTAGGAGAATACCTCCCAACACTCTCCCTCATCCTCCATCTCCTCTGTGAACAAGCAGACCGAGCCCTCCCACAGCCCCATGAAGGCCCCACCAACCAGACCCTCCTACCAGGAGAACATGTCTTTCTAAAAACTCTTAACCCAGTAAGGCTTAAACCAAAGTCAGAATATGCCTTTCAAGTGCTTCTCACAACTCCCACCCCCGAGAAACTCTCAGGACGTGTTTCCTGGTACCAGCTTTCCAGATAAAAAAACGCTCCTGAAGTTTCCACTAAACCACCAACTGCCGTCCTTCACCAATTCTCCAGTCCTCTTCACAGTCCAACCAAACTCTGCCTGATGTCTGTTCCCAAGGATGACCCGCCACTGCCTCCCTCCACTTAAAAGCTGTAAGTACTCCCCAAATCCCTAAAAAAATTTAAATGTCCTGCCCCTGCCTATACTGCCACTTTATCCTCTTCTTCTACTGTGTCTGCGAAGGCATCTCCTGGTTTTACCCCCAAGGTTCCCTTCTTGGCTCTCTTTTGGAAGGGATAAATGACCTATTTTTCCAAGGCACTCTGTGTGACTTCTCCCCAGATAAAATGCAACCATTTATCTTTTTTTTTTGGTCTTTTTGTTCCTAGTTTATTTCACTTAATGTAGTGACCTCCAGGTCCATCCATATTTAAAATGACTGGATCTCATTCTTATTTATGGCCGAGTAGTCCTCGGTGGTGTGTCTATACCACATTTTCTTTATCCATTTGCTATTGATGGAACTCAGGTTGCTTCCAAATCTTGGCTATTGTGAATAGTGCTGCCATAAACATGGGTGTACAGATATATTTGATATACTGATTTCCTTTCTTTTTTATTGCATATTAGGTTTTGGGGTACATGTGAAGAACATGCAAGATTGTTGCATAGGTACACACATGGCAGAGTAATTTGCTGCCTTCCTCCCCATCACTTATATCTGGCATTTCTCCCCATGCTATCTCTCCCCAACTCCCCACCCCCCACTGTCCTCCCCTATTTCCCCCCTACAGACCCCAGTGTGTAGTGCTCCCCTCCCTGTGTCCATGTGTTCTCATTGTTCAACACCCGCCTATGAGTGAGAACATGTGGTGTTTGATTTTCTGTTCTTGTGTCAGTTTGCTGAGAGTGATGGTTTCCAGGTTCATCCATGTCCCTACAAAAGACACGAACTCATCATTATCTATGGCTGCATAATATTCCATGGTGTATATGTGCCATATTTTCCCTGTCCAGTCTATTATTGTTGGGCATTTGGGTTGGTTCCAAGTCTTTGCTATTGTAAACAGTGCTGCAATGAACATTCGTGTGCATGTGTCCTTATAGTGGAACGATTTATAATCCTTTGGATATATACCCAGTAATGGTATTGCTGGGTCAAATGGAATTTATATTTCTAGGTCCTTGAGGAATCCCCACACTGTCTTCCGCAATGGTTGAACTAATTTACACTCCCACTGACAGTGTAAAAGTGTTCCTATTTCTCCACATTCTCTCCAGCATCTGTTGTCTCCAGATTTTTTAATGATCGCCATTCTAACTGGTGTGAGATGGCATCTCAATATAGTTTTGATTTGCATTTCTCTAATGACCAGTGATGATGAGCATTTTTTCATATGCTTGTTGGCCTCATATATGTCTTCTTTTGTAAAGTGTCTGTTCATATCCTTTGCCCACTTTTGAATGGGCTTATTTGTTTTTTTCTTGTAAATCTGTTTTAGTTCTTTGTAGAGTCTGGATATTATCCCATTGTCCTGTTTACCTTTTTACTCACTCTTTGCCTGTCTATCCCTCCTACTCCTTTGGCTACCCTGTACCACCACACCTCCCCTCGATTCCTATCATTCCTAATTACCTCTCCAAAACCCTCAGCTGATCACATTCACTGCTGAACCAATCCAACCCGACCCTAGCAGAAAACAGCTGGCTATGCCTCTCCCTGTCACCTACTACTTATACAGCCACTCCTGCCTGCTCAAAACCTGGGTTTTTACCAATTTAACCTATCATCCCCAATATGACAGTAAAAGCCTCTCCCAGCCCTTAGAAATGCAGTCATTAGCCAGGTTTCCAATCTGTGAAACAACCAAAAATACTTCAACAGGACACACAGTACAACTGTGTTCCTGTATTTCCAATCTCACCAAATATACACACAATAATAACAAGCCCATGCACCGCAGCATAACCATGAATACAGAGTTAATTCTCCAAGCCCCAGTTTGCTTTCAACACAATGTATCTTCAGGTCTGCATCTGGGGCACCTACTGCCCTATCAATGCAACTATACCTTACAGTTTCAGGACTCAGCCAAACTACGAAAACTGTCAAGTCTTCCAAGCCGCTCCCTTTAGGCAGCGTGTACGCTTATATAGACCCCCTAAAGTCGTTGGTAACTCTCTACTTAAACAATCAGGATTTTGCAATGGAAGGCATATTCATTGTATAACTATACACCCATGGACCCCTTGCAGCACAGCCCTCACCCCTGAAAAATGCCTCTTTATACCCACATGTAACCACTCTTCTAAATGGATCTTAGTAAATAAAAAATGATTCTTTCTTCAATGGAAAAACAAAACACAGGGAGCCACTCACCTTTCCCCACTAACCACGTTTCAGCCACTTACCGGAGTTGCCCTAGGTAGCACCCTAGGAGCATGGGGAAATGAGAACAATAAACTCTCTAGCAGCAGTTACACTCCAAAACCATCCAGTTTTAGGGTGTAGGGGTGTAAAGTCCCTAAAAGGCTTCTAAGTGAACTCATCTTGGAGAGCCGGTATCTTGCTGATCCTCACTTTTCCCTCAAACCTGAAGAATGGGTCCTGTTCTCTGGCCTGGCTGTTTGCATCAGCTCATGTCGTGATGGGTGCCTGACTCTGTGTGCCTTTGTGCATAAGGTGCCCAGGGAAGTTGGGCTTGGTGTGTTGACCTGCAGCACCCAGCGGGGCAAATGGGGTCCCATGTCCACATCTAGTCACAGGCCGGCACAGCGGACCCATTGTCTTGGGAGTATTTGTTTAAATGAAGGGCCCTGCCTCTACTTTCCCCGTATCTTGGGTAGCTCTGGGTGGGTGGGCTGGCACAGGAAATTAAGGGCAGCCCTGTGTGCCTGGATTGCAGAGATGGCACAGCTGTCCCTGTCAGGTTGTGGGTCTGGGTCAGTTGTTTCTAGCAGTACTGAACCCAACAACTTGACTAGGTCTGGGCAGCAGACACCATTCCCTGCATCCTGGAAGATGATCAGTTTTTTCCAGTTGTCACACTCAGTGAGGTCTTGGCTAGGCAGAGGCCCTGATGTGGCTGTCTTCACTATAGCTTCATACAACAGGGTCAGCAGGACACTGTGATACTGCTTAGGAAGAGGAAGTGGGGCCAGAATTAGGACTAGCTCATAAATGGAAGCTTCGGGTCGCAAGCAGACTGCCCTGTTCTCCCAGTGTGGGGACTCAGGAGGCTTCTCAGCCAAAAGGAGATGCTCTGGGGTCTGGCATGCCTCTATTGTTTTCCTGGTACTCTTCCTTTGAGGATACATACTGGATGGGCTTGTCTTTACCCCAAGCAATGCTGGGCCTGGTCCACTAACCTGTTTTTTATTCCTGTGGCTCCTTGAAGGTCATAGTTTTGGTCGGACTTTTGTTCTGGGCAGAGGTATGAAGAAGTAGCTGATGTGATTCTGATCATTACCGCCTTGAGCCGAATTTCCTGATCGGGTCAGTTGGAGGAGGAGGGCACTTCAGACCCTAAGGTGGGCATTCTGGACTGAATTCCCCATTGGATCCAGGATCCGACAGCGTGGGCAGGGATCTGATCACATGGGGCTGGAGATTCTGCCTTGGTCTCAAAGCCCAGGGATCCACTGCTTCTCAGCACTGCTGTCCGTAAAGGGCGGAAGGAAAGAAACACACACACACACACACACGCGCACGCGCGCGCGCGCGCACACACACACACACACACACGGAGACATCATCCAACAGTAGCAGGCAGCTCCTGAGGCTGTGGGGTTCTGCTCTCTGCCGGGAAGCCCCTCGGGGATAGAGCAGCCCCGCCGCACACAGGCTGACCTTACCTGGAAATCCCAGCAGGGACAGCTTTCAAGGAGGCGCACCCCAACACTGTCTGGGCAGGCCTGAAGCATCTAGGGGATCCTTGGGGATCGATCGCCCTGGGCATCCCTGAAGCTCGGCTGGACCATTTCTCAGCCTGGTTCCGCCAAGTCGGACTCCGGAAATCGCGGGACCGTGGCGACGATCGCCGTGAGTTAGGGGGCCGTCGCCCAACGCCAAAGCACTGCCGCAGTGGGCCCCTGCTTTGCCAAGCGCTGAGACGGTTCCCCAGGACACGGTTGCCGTCACTGTGACGCGAGGCCCCGCTCCGCGCTCGTGCTTGTGACAGCCGCTTGCGCATGCGCATTGGGGTGCCCTGATGGTGGACCGCGATGTCGGCGCTCTCAGGCTGCAGCCCCACAGGACAAGGCTGGAGGCGGTGCCCGGGGCGGTCCCGGGGAAGGAGGCTGCCTGCCACAAGCAGCTCAGGAATCAGATACTTCTTATCGGCTTTCCTGATCGGATCGGCTGGAGGAGGAGGGCGCTTGAGATCCTGAGGTGGCCACTCCGGACTGCCCTCCGCATTGCATCCTGGATGGCTTGGAAGGCGTGGGCCCAGGTCGGGTCCCATCGGGCTGGAGATTCAGTCTGATGAGGTGTGGTAGGGGTCTGCGGACCCCAGAAACATGGGCCTGAGATCCTCGAGGAGCATGTCAGAACATTCCCCTGCTCCGTGAGCTCCGTGCCCGCCTACCATATGGGCCACCCACCAAGGGACCCTGCCTTGGTCTCCAAGTCCAGGGACCCCTGCTTCTCTGCACTGCTGATGAAGAAGGCACTACCGCAGAGGGCCCCAGCTTTGCCAAGCCGCTGAGACGGTTCCCCAATCCATGCAGGCGGTCACTGTGACGTGAGCCCCGCAACAAGCAGCGCAGGATCCTGACAGTTGAGAAAGAAAGAGCAGCAATCCCAGCGTGAGGCAAAGGTGGTAACACGTGGAACTGGCATCCCATGGGGGCAGATCAGGTGGAGAGAGCATCTCAGAAACTTTTCCGGGCTATTCCAATCCTGAGTTGGATGTCCTGGCATGCCGCTGAGTACCCCCAAGAAAGCCAAGCACAAAATGCCAACAGAGCTTAGTCACTTTATTGTTTTGACAGAAAACATAATATTCTTGGTGTAAAGTGTTTAGATCAAATCATGTTCATCGCCTGTATACTGAGAACTCTGTCAACGTTCCTTGTCAAGAGACAAATCATTCCCTCTGTTAAAAGTGCAGATTGTTACTCTTCATTGACACCTAAACCCAGAGTGTAACCATGTGTGGGAGGTTAATTGGTGGATGAAATCTGTTTCTGAAGTAGTGACTCCACAAAGTCATACTTTAATAAAGGCCCTACCCTGCCATTATGTTTCACATGTTTTCTGTGATGAGCGAATCATAAACATGGAACCTTCATCCCGTCAAGATCAAGTGTGAGCATCCAACTTACTTGACAAGATTTTCATTGTCTCCAGTTCCCTGGCAAGTGGCACATTCAGTTCTTCAATCTTCAGCTCTGGGCTTCTTTTGCAACACAAACCATCTTTGTCTTCTCTCTCTAGGAACTCTTTCCTGCCATACAAAGGCTGAGAAAAGAAAGCACCAGAAAACAGGAGAAGGATATGAGGGAACAATTTTAAGAAAGAAAACTTCTCAAAGGTAAGGCTGTGAAAATGTGATTTACTTATTCCAACCTCATGTTTTTCTCCTTCAGGAATGAAGTTGTTTTCCTCCTCTGGTTCTCTGGGGGGGGGGGAAAAAAAAAGAAATCCAAACAATATCTGTGTAATTAATAATAAAAATGAATCTGCTCTCTCAAACATGATTACTTAAGTTAAATGTTTGCAAAATTATCTACTTTTCATTAATAATCTATTGGACCACAGAATTTTCTGAACATTTTTGCCATAGGAGAAAGAAAGTATCAAATTTAGTATACAATATATATCCTTACACAACTGCCCATCATTAGGATTTACTCACAGCCTGTATATTTTCATAACTTATCAAATATGGCCTTTTAGCTGAAATGCTAATCTTGGGAGCATACTACACACATTGTTTGCCCACATGTATGCAGGTGCACTCGTGTTCATTTAAAGAAAGAATTTTTCAGCAGCAAAAGAAGAGCAGAGGAAAAAGTCTCACAGCTGCTAAGTCATAGTTATGGTAAAACCAATTAAAAAGCCACAGAAAACACCATTATAAACTAATTCAGGTGCAATTTGCATCCCATAGGTCAGAATGCATTTACCATTTGAAGGAACACATACAGATATTTTACAAGAACTGTAAGTACCTGAGTGTTTGCAGCCAAAGTGTTAGAAACCTCCAGCAATCACAGCACAGCCTCTGTGTAGATGTTGCCATTCCCATCTGCAGACCACTGTTCCTTAGAGACTGGAAGAGACAGCAGGCCCTGCTCCCAAAAATTACTTGGACAGCCGAGATCAAGGAGCATTCCCAAGCTACAGTATGTACCAAATAATTCTCAACAGTGACATGATACTATATATAAGCTAATGTTTTCTTAAAATTGCTGTGATTTTAATCCTTCATATTAAGCCCTCTGTGATTTCATCATGTGGCTAACTGCATACCATTTAATCTGTCCCTAGATAAACAAGAGTCAACTAAATGAATCATTCAGAAAAAGTCAATTTAGGAACTAACTATCTGTTTCCATCTATATTGCCAATCAGTGTGTTTGAATGATCTTATGAAAGTGGTTAGGGAGAAAAATGAAGACCATATCCAGACTATACTCTTGACATGCAGACCCTACATCTACAATTCTTACTTCCAAAGAACACTACAGAGACTTGGTCCTGTAAATCCCAATCATGACCCGTAAACACTGGCATTCCCTGAGTGTCTACTATAAATACAGAATCACTGGCTCACTCAATGTGTCTTTTGACAAGAATCCTCAGTAGGTCAAATACACATCAGTTGAAGGACACCAGTGTAGTCCCTCAAGGGGTCATGAGCACATTGAAAAGCATTGAGTTAGATAGCTTTGTTTAGCTGTAAGGAGAGATATATCTCTATGTAGCATATACTCACCTTCACTCTGGAATGTCCAAATCTGGCTCCTATAAGAAATGTGTTTCTAATCTGCTGAATCAAAACATAGGTTCAATTCTCTTAGTTGAACAAACACACAGCAGAGCACTTTCAAAGATACGTTTCATCTGTGTTTTAGACAGTCTTACTGCTATTTCGTATATGCCAGGATTTTGCTGGAAATGACTATTTTTAGACTCTCCACAGAAAGGGGTTTTCAACTGCTGCATACACACATCAGTTTAACTCAGTAAGTTGAATGCACACATTGACAAGCATTGTGTTAGATAGCTTCATTTTAGTTATTAAGGTGAGATATTTCTCTTTACAGCATATAATCACATTCACTCTAGAATGTCCAAATTGAGCTCCTATAAAAAATGTGTTTCTAACCTGAATCAAACATAGATTGAATTCTCTTAGTTGAATGAATACACAGCAGAGCAGTTTCAAAGATACGTGTCTTCTGTGTTTCACATGCAATCTTCCTGCTATTTTGTTTAAGCTGGGATTTTGCTGGAAATGTCTGTTTTTAGATTCTCCGCAGAGAGGGTTTTTAAACTGCCGCATACACACATCAGTTAAACTCTGTAAGTTGAATGCTCACATTGGCAATTATTCTGTTAGATAGCTTTGTTTTAGTCTTTATGGTGAAATATTTCTCTTTACAGTATATACTGACATTCACTATGGAATTTCCAAATCTAGCTCCTATAAGAAATGTGATTCTAACCTAATAAATCAAAACATAGGTTGAATTATCTTAGTTGAATGAACAGACAGCAGAACAGTTTTTTTTTTTTTTTTTTTTTTGAGGCGGAGTTTCACTCTTGTTACCCAGGCTGGAGTGCAATGGCGCGATCTCGGCTCACCGCAACCTCCGCCTCCTGGGTTCAGGCAATTCTCCTGCCTCAGCCTCCCGAGTAGCTGGGATCACAGGCACGCGCCACCATGCCCAGCTAATTTTTTGTATTTTTAGTAGAGACGGGGTTTCACCATGTTGACCAGGATGGTCTCGATCTCTTGACCTCGTGATCCACCCGTCTCAGCCTCCCAAAGTGCTGGGATTACAGGCTTGAGCCACCGCGCCCGGCTAGAACAGTTTTAAAGATACAAAATTTCTGTGCTTTAAAGGCAGTCTTCCTGCTCTTTTGTATAAAATAGGATTTTGCTGGAAATGTCTGTTTTTAGATTCTCCACAGAAAACGTTTTTAAACTGCTGCATACACACATCAGTTTAACTCTGTAAGTTGAATTCACACATTGACAAGCATTCTGTTAGATAGCCTCATTTTTGTAATAAAATGGGATATTTCTCTTACAGCATATTCTCATATTCACTCTTAAAATATCCAAATCTGGATGCTATAAGAAATGTGTTTCTAAGGCCGGGCGCGGTGGCTCAAGTCTGTAATCCTAGCACTTTGGGAGGCCGAGGCGGGTGGATCCCGAGGTCAAGAGATCGAGACCATCCTGGTCAACACGGTGAAACCCCATCTCTACTAAAAATACAAAAAATTAGCTGGGCATGGTGGCGCGTGCCTGTAATCCCAGCTACTCAGGAGGCTGAGGCAGGAGAATTGCCTGAACCCAGGAGGCGGAGGTAGCGGTGAGCCGAGATCGCGCCATTGCACTCCAGCCTGGATAACAAGAGCGAAACTCCGTCCCAAAAAAAAAAAAGAAATGTGTTTCTAAACTGTTGAATCAAAACATAGATTCAATTCAATTAGTTGAACAAACACACAGCAGAGCAATTTCAAGATATATTTCCTCTGTGTTTTAGATGCGGTCTTACTGCTATTTCATATATTCTAGGATTTTGATGGAAATATCTGTTTTTAGACTCTCCACAGAAAGGGTTTCTACACTGCTGCATACACACATCAGTTAAACTCTGTAAATTGCATGCACAAATTGACAAGCATTCTGTTAGATAGCTTCGTTTTAGATTTTAAGGTGAGATATTTCACTTTACAGCATATACTCACATGCACTCCGGAATATCGAAATCTAGCTCCTATAATAAATGTTTTTCTAACCAAATAAATCAAAACATAGATTGAATTCTCTTAGTTGAACAAACACACGGCAGAGCATTTTTAAAGATACGATTTTTCTGTGTCTTAGAGGCAGTCTTCCTGCTATTTCATATATGCCTGGATTTTGTCGGAAATGTCTGTTTTTGGGTTCTCCACAGAAAGGGTTTTTAAACTTCTGCATACGCACATCTGTTTAACTCCATAAGTTCAATATACACATTGAGAAGCATTTCATTAGATAGCTTCATTGTAGTTTTAAAATGAGATATATCTCTTTACAATATATACTCACATTCACTCTGGAGAGTCAAAATCTCACTCCTATAAGAAATGTTTTTCTTGCAACAATCTTGCATGTTCTTCACATGTACCCCCAAACCTAAAATGCAATAAAAATAAATAAATAAATAAATAAATAAAAGAAAATAAAAAAAAGAAACCTTTTTCTAACCTAATAAATCAAAACAATGATTGAATTCTCTT